ATGTTATGGCAGTTATGCATAATAACAATACAAACCACTTTTGCCTCAGAGTTATGTCGGAATTCCTAGCCAAAATAATAAATTATTATACAGATAGACCACATCCGTACCCCCTAAAGAAACAAAAAACGGGCCTGAAAAAACCCCAAAACGATTTTGGGGGCACGGCTCCTCAGTGGGGAAGGGTCCTGGACTATTTGTTTTTTTTTTCCCCCTTGAAATTTGGCAAATTCCGGACCTTCCAGATCAGACGTCTGGAGTCTGGACAGAATCCAGACCGTCTGGACAGCGGTCCGGACGTCCGGATCATAGCGATGGTTGTGAGTATTGGATCATGATTGACAGCGGGAACACGTGTACCGAAAACAAAAAATCTCACGAAACTGTTGTTGCTGTTGTAGTGCAGTCAAAGGTGGTCGGTGACCCAATAACAGGTCGAAGGTCGTTCAGCCCCTCTGACAGCATAAATACTTTCAGATTGCTTCATCATCATCATCATCATCATCATCATCATCATCATCATCAGAAGAAGAAGAAGAAGAAGAAGAAGGAGGAGGAGGAAGGAGGAGGAAGGAGGAGGAAGCAGGAGGAAGAAGGAGGAAGAAGGAGGAAGAAGGAGGAAGGAGGAGGAAGGAGGAAGAAGGAGGGAGGAAGAAGAAAGAAGAAGAGGAACAACAACAAGAAGAAGAACAACAACAAGAAGAAGAACAACAACAAGAACAAGAAGAAGAAGAAGAAGAAGAAGAAGAAGAGGAACAACAACAACAACAACAACAACAACAACAACAACAACAACAGAGGGGTCTATCCCAGCATCGAGGCTGGATGGTACGGACATGTAGCCGTTGATAAACAGACATGAGCTCAAACCCTGATGGATACAACGATGTTAGGGTCGTTCAGCCTCTCTGACGACGTAAATACTTTCAGATTGTTTGGTTGGGAATCGCGAATCCAAAAAAGAAGAAGAAGAAGAAGAAGAAGGAGAAGGAGAATTGAAATTGAATTGAATTGAAATAGCGAGGCCGATCATTATGCATCCATGTTCAAAGGATGAGTATAACAGCACCTACACAGAGAAGAAGAAGAAGGTAAAGCAACAACAGAGGGGTCTATCCCACCGTCAAGGCTGGATGGTACACACATGTAGCCGTTGATAGATATTAAATAGACATGAGCTCAAACCCTGACAGTAGCCATTATTACTCTCAGACTACAGATTCATTTGGAGACACCTTTGAGATCTGAAAACATCAGTTAGGGCATGTTCCCAATCGGGAATTTTTGCTATGCATCTGAGATTCATTCAGAAAACTTTTATGTGAACAGAGGAACGGGGACGCAAGTGGCACTAACCTGAAGCCTTGGAAGGCTCCCAAACTTCAATGGCTCTACCCCTTTCCAGAAACCCTCATCTTCGACAGACAACAATGCAATATCACACTCATGTCCTATTGCAAGAACCTGCACAGATGCAACAAAAAATAAGAGAGAGAGAGAGAGAGAGAGAGAGAGAGAGAGAGAGAGAGAGAGAGAGAGAGAGAGAGGCCAGGAAATATAATGAACTAGTCAAAACTTCTACACCAATGTGAAAAGAAAGCAACAACAAGTTAGTAAACAACAGAAGAAAAAAAAAAAAGAACGAGTCAGAACTTACGTTCTTGAAAGACTTCCTATAGGGGCCTCTCTCTCGAGTAATGTACCGCTTCCGTATACATGAGAATTCAGAGGAGGGGGTGGTGGAAAGGAGGGAGGGGGAGGGGGGTGTGGGGGGGGCCAAGGGGTAGTAGGAGGCAGCATTTAAACTTGCTGAGCCGGTCCAGCTCAGGCGCAAAGTCTCTGGCTGCGGATTTTCAAGCTCTTAACCCCTCAACCCTTCAGAGGGTACCCTCGCAGAAACTCGTCAGACGCACTAAAAACTTCAGGAGGGTGTAACTCGCCCCAACAAGGGTCTCAAAGAGAACCTCTTCTTGCAATCTGCTCCTACTGATCGAGTTCGAAGAAGGTTTGGATTACACAATTAGTACGGCACTGGTCCCATACGATATTGTCACTTTTGTTTTTTATTAAAAACTACGGATGTCCCAGCACATAGCCAAATTCTCTACTTTATTTTCCCAGGACTATAGCTTTCAAGTTTCGATAAGCTCGGGTGTATCGTTTTTTTTTAATCAGTGGTTCCTCTTTTTTTTTTTTTTTATCATATGAAAACAACTGTCTTCTCTTCGTATATGGGGGCGGACAGCTGTATTTTTACTACCCTATTTTTTTCTCTCAGTTCATCCTCTCACTAGCTACCCATCCAACCAGGATTAGCATCGCTGCATCAGCCAGCACTCCAAATCTATGCACAACCCGGAACAGGACCAGGCAATCATCCTAATAATCTATGCACCGCAGAGACAGCTTGCTAAGTGGTATGGGTTTAGCCCTCCCTAGTCTACCCAAGTGGTATGGGTTTAGCCCTCCCTAGTCTACCCAAGTGCCTGGGCTACCCCTAGGACAGACAGGCCCTAAGGGCCTAAGCTGATAGACAGCTTGCTAAGCTGATAGACGGTACTATATGTAGGACAGATTCGTAATTTTTGTTTGGCTGAGGGCTAACCGAGAGACCTGCCTGTAAGGAAATTCGTGAGGGACATATCTGCAAATTCGGGAAAATATAGGCCCATACTAACTAGAATTCCCCCCAGCTATCCTGACTGCGAATAGCAGGCCCGGGCTACCCCTAGGACAGACAGGCCCTAAGGGCCTAAGGTGATAGACAGCTTGCTAAGTGTTATGGGTTTAGCCCTCCCTAGTCTACCCAAGTGCGAGGGTTTACCCCTCGGCATAAGGCTGCAATGACTTGGTGGTTTCTGGTTGTCTGTAGCCTCTCTCTGTCGAGGCTGTACTATATGTAGGACAGATTCGTAATTTTTGTTTGGCTGAGGACTAACAGAAAGACCTGCCTGTAAGGAAATTCGTGAGGGACATATCCGCAAATTCGGGAAAATATAGGCCCATGCTAACTAGAATTCCCTACAGCTATCCTGACTGCGAATAGCAGGCCCGGGCTACCCCTAGGACAGACAGGCCCTAAGGGCCTAAGCTGATAGACGGTCCTATAGCCTATAGCCGGGTTGGGAGAGGCCCTAGAGGCCGAAACAGAAATGGTACTGGTCGGTCAGTCAGTGCGGTCTAGGTCGAGTCTAGGCTAGAGTAGCCTATAGATAGGATGGGCACACCGGTTCAGGGCTTTCGGCGGTTGGTACCGATTACATCACTGCTGTGCAACGCGTGAACTGGAAGTGGTGACGGCTCAGCGTTGAGGGAGACAGACATAGCCAGACCTTCGGAGCACCGGTCATAGCTGGGACCTGTGCTGTACTCTGTCAGCACGTAGGGGCTGTACAAAGGTCTGGGCTATTCGAGGTCTGCTGGCGGCGAGAGAAGTTGGTGCCCTGCTGGACCCTCCTCCGGAGTAGGTTTACAGGGTGTGGAGCTGCAGCCATAGCTGCAGCTTCTTCCTCAGAGGTCATCTTTTGGGGAGTGGTGGCGCTGCTGCAGACTTCCACCTGGGAAGTCTTCCAACACTTCGTCATCATCAGATACTGTGGCGCTGGTCTTCTTCTTCATCCTCTGAGTGGCGCTTGGCCTCAGAGGCCTGTTTCAGGGTGGTGCTTCCCTCTAGAGGTTGTATCTGGGTGGCGCTTGATGTTTCAGGGACTCAGGGGTGTTACTAGCGGTTACTCAGGGTTGGGGAGTGAAGCGCTGCTCATATCTGAGCAGCGCACCATAGTTCTGAGGTTATTCTGACAATTCAAGACTCTGAGTTTAATAAACAGTGTGTATGCTGTGTGTGACTATCATCGGTTCATTGTTTCCTGGATGTGATCTACTCGGCTTTCCTTTATGACTGGTTGTGAGGATTGAGTGGAGTGAATTGCACTTTCAGTGTAACCTGTCATATCGCATGGTCAAGTCTTCTGCTGTGTTTATCTCTCCCTGTGTCGTGTGATACTCCTATCCTCTCCCCTTCCTTCTGTGTATGTATGGGCATACCTGGGAGTCTATGTGAGTGAGTGTTGGTCTTCAGACAACAGGCAACCAGAATCATGAGAAGGCCCTGCAGCAGGCACGTGCCCGCCAGAAGTGAAGGCGGGCCCCCTGAATCACAATGTTCCCTGATCTCGACAATTTTTGCAAATCTTGGTGGGTGCCAGACAGTTGCCACGCGCGGGTTGGTTACATCCGCTTTGCTCGTAAGAATCGGAAATATGCATGAGACTTCCAGGCTATTCCAGCAACGTGGTCGAAGCAGGGAACACCACACGTTTGTGCCTGGGTGGGTGGTTGGGCATGCCTAACCGATCCGGTCCCAGGCCGCTGTCTGAACGAGCCTGGGCGCAGACACTTTGGCCCAACCAGAAGCAACGAGGCACACGCGAGGCCAAGCAGGCAAGGAGCAGCCAGGCCACTTTGAATATAGCAAAGTGCCGGGCCGGGGGAGTTTCATTCGTGTACTCGCGTGTAGTTGCGGCAGCGCTGCTAAGGTGCAGGTGAGCGCGGGCGTCGAGAGGGAACAGGGCGCTGCCCTCAGCAGCGCCATAGCCCAGCCTCCATAGCCAGGCTGGGGCTTGGACATAGTCAGCGGGTGGGTGTGGTCTTTGTGAAAGTGGAAGACGAGAGAGAGAGAGAGAGAGAGAGAGAGAGAGAGAGAGAGAGAGAGAGAGAGATGAGGATAACGATGTGAGGGCACGTACCTGGTCATGGCAATGGTCTACAGGGTCGACATCTTCACGTACTTTGGTTGCTTGCTGCTGACGTCAACAGGTTGCTTTGTCAATTCGCAGGCTGGTAGTAGCTGTGTGAATGTAGTCTGGCCGCTGAGCGCCAAATAGGAGAAAGGGCTCTGGATACATATGTCGGTGGTGGCGAGAGTATGCTCTCATTGACATTCAGATTCGGTGCTTTGGTTCTTCGTTGGTGGAATATCAGTGCATTTCTGCTCTCTGGACAGCGTTGGACTTTCTGGCTTTCAATGTGACTTTGCATTCTGGATTTCTGTCATTTCGCTATCCCTCATTTTCCTTGCACAAGCCTATATCTACTCAATTCAGTGCGGGGAGTAGCTCGGGTGTATCTTTTTTTCTTTATCAGTGGTCCATCGGGCCGAGGGGAAAAAAAAAAAGACTGGTCACGCGATAGCATGGCTATTGTGTTGAGCTACTGACCTGGTTAACAAATTGTGACAGCGTTTTCGTTTTCGTTTTCAATATTAACCCACCATCAGCACTTCCAACCATCTTTTTTCTCAAGGGGAATTCGTGCTGTGTGGCAGGTGCCGCCTTTTGCTTGGAACAGCAAAAACCAACCTGCATGCCGCAAACTTTTTCTTTTTGTTTGGCTCGTGCCGCCAGCCAAACAGACCAGTAGGCTGAGCCCCGAAACACACACATTGTGTACACAGCAGCAGTGTTGCGCCCAAGCGGCTGGGAATTGTAGTAGGGGTTCGAAGTTCGAAATTCGAACTTTTTAACTTAGTTCCAACTTTCAACACGAAATTATTCTTCGACTAGAGTGGAAGTGGGATCCTAGTTTTTTCAACTTTTTCGTCCTACTGCTGTAGCCAAACAATTTACCACAAGAATGACTATATGACATAGTATATGTAGCATTCACTGTTGGTAACTTGTTATACGTTTTAACTTTTAAGTTTTAACTCCGATAAAAAAAAAAAAATTATGTTCTTCGAACTTTGTTTGCCCGTCATATCAAACAAAAAAAAGGACTAACCTATGACTTCCTTCACTTTCGTCATCAGGTGCATAGTACATAGTAAAAATACTAAATATGTTTGTTTTGTTTTTTCTTTTCCAGGTTTCCTTTCTTTTTTTTTTTTCTTTTTTTTTTATATTTTAAACAGGCCCTTATGGTCCTGGCTCCATTTCCATTCTGGGGAGCATCAGTCCGGTTCCTATTCCCCCGGCAAGTCAGGATAACAGGATACATCACAAGTGCTCACCCACACTTCCTTCCGTCCGGCCGAAGGACCCCTGACCAGCATTTGTTTTTCTTTGTGTTTTTGTTTTTTTTCCCTTTCTCTTTGGTGCTAAACTGTGCAAAGTTGCTACGTAACCCGATTCTTGTATCAATCACTGTATGACAGATGGATTGGAATTACGGTACGGTACCCTTCACTGCATGGTAATTCTCAGAGTCGTGAAGATATGTACGAGCATGATGGTAATTCGGAGATCCGCGAAGACAGGTATGCGTATGAGGTGAGCTATCCTCTTATCAAGTACTTTATGATGGATGAATCGGAAGGATGGTAGTTCTGAGAGTCGTGAAGACATGATTGAGCATGAGTTGAGCTATTACTACCTGGTTTGATAGCATATCCCCAAACCACAGCTTGACCCCTTGGTTAAACCTAAACTCGAAAGAAAAAACAAACTAGCAGCAGCGTCTTACGAGTGTGACTGAGGCACTTAGGGATGACAGAGAGAGAGAGAGAGTTGAGAAACTCACTTGAGCGACAAATTTGGTATCATCTCCCCTCCGCTTCAGCTTCACCTGCCAAGACAAACGAGGTTTTCGAGGATGAATGAAAAGCTCAACATCATCAGTTATAAAACAACCAAAAAACTTTTCAAAAAGGGATTATTATCGCGGGAGTTTCTCAACTTGATTTAAAATCACTCGCTCGAGTCGCGGCACCTTTCATGGATCTAATTTCATGTCCTCATTTCGGAATACAATAGATTTTCCAAATTCCAGTTACGAAAGACAGCAGGGAAGAATACGGATTAAAAAAAAAAAAAAAAAAAAAAGACCATATGGCAGCAAGCAAATGCAAAAGGCGATAAGCACGACAGCCCACGCCCATGGAGAATAAAAATCTGCGCACACCAATAACTGGAGAAGGTCACAAATCAAAAATGTCCTTTTTGTTTTTTGGATGGTATCATTGGTATGCAAAAAAAAAAAACATGCAAAAAGGACAGAGTCTGAGACAGACCAATAACTGGACAGTAATAGGCACACTGATGGGAGTCATGTGACACTTATTAAGTTATTAGTCTATTCACTCATTAAAATCCATGGTTGCATCCCTGCCGACTGCCAACCCGGCTGCCGACCATATTGCAGCTGACCAGTAGGGCCGACCGGTCGGCGGTCTGCCGACCAGTCAGAAAACAACCATCCACTAATTTTTTTTCAGATCTGAGTCGGAAGTACTGCGCTTGCTGAGTAC